TCAGCGGGAGGCGTGGATGACGAGCGGCGATAAACTTGCGAAAAGCAAGTTATGCTCAACTCCACTGGTGGATTCTGACAGCGTGGAAAAGTGTGAAAACATCCACGATCACCAACGGATTTCGAAGGGCTGGACTGTTGCATGATGGAGAGGAGGACACCGCCACGGCCCTTCAGAGGGTGTTCGACTTTGACTCTGACAACGAGGATTTCTTTGGTTGGTTTTGAAAGTGACAACGAAGGAGAGAAGCGGAGAGTGGATGACGAAGCCATCCTGAGCCTGTTCGTTTCCGACACTGGAGGAGAGAAAGATGGTGAATGACTGACTTTTCTTCTTGTTGAAGCCGTGTCACTGCACCTGAGCCTAAAAGGTAGGCCGAATCTATTTTTCTGGTGTGCTGTAGGTTACTGTTATGTACTAGATTTGTTACTCATTTATGAAGCACAGTACATGTTTCGTACTTGTAATTACCGCTACTTGTACATATACCTAAAAAGTTATGCAAATATGTACCCATAACTTGTTTTTCACAATATTAATAAAAGTGATGTCTCCAAACAGCCGTCTCTTTCTTGACAATTCGCTTTGTGCATATTCTCTTACATATGATGAGTCAACATTGAAACACCTGCGGCTTTTAGTCAGGTACGGCTAATGTATGTACAAAACAGGATTTTCCCCTGATTTTAGTTTGTGCGGCTAATATTCAGGTGCGCTCTGTAGTCCGGGAAATACGGTACATTCATTTCCTGGAGACTTATCCTGACTCTACCCATCACAAGTCCCTGCCTGAACCTTACCCTAACCCTGACTCAAGCCTTCACCGTAAAATTGAATGATTTACCTTGCAATTTGTCCCCATAAAGTAGGCGAGACCTCACAATGTGAGTGTGTAAACAAATTTGTGTCCCTACACCAATAAGTAATACACGACCACACACACACACACAGCACACAGCACACACACACAGCAAAATTGGTATGGCCCGGATCAGGCCCACACAATGTGCTTACACATGGCCCACATACCGCAAAGAATGACGGCCCTTTGGTCGCCAAGACCTGGTTTGCCACAGGTGGCCCACACATGGGCCAGCACAAGGCCAGTTTCAGACACACTGGTGTTCCTGTGCTAGCCCATGTGCGGATTAGCTCTGGCAAACCTGATCTGGGCCACCAAAGGGCCGTCATTCATTGCGGTGGGCCATCTGTAGGTGGTGTGCTGCCACGGACCAGTTGTAGACACACTGCTGGCCTTGTGCTGGCCCAGAAAAGTTTCAGCTCTGGCCCCAGATGTCAGCCTAATGTGTACCTTAATCAAGCCATGTAATAACAACATGTGTCAGAACATGCAAAACAGTGCAAAAGTAACATGCCGAAACTCTGTTCATGCCAGAAGTCAGCCGGCTGCTGTCAGCTGGCTTGATACCAGATCCAGACCAGACCTGCTTGCTATGTGGGCACTAACACACACAGACACAGGAACTTTACCAACTGACCCCTGACCCCTGAGCTCCTAAGTGTCCCTCAAACCTCATTCAGGGATCCACTCCTCTACTTCACTGTCACTCCCTGAAAGCTCACTGTCCTCACTTTCTGAGGACAGAAAGTGCACATTCCCATTTACATCCATGTCCTGTAATTATGAGTAGATTTTAAAGTAAAAAATATTGACTATGATCATATAAATGCACACAAACACATCTCTACACACATATGAAAATGCATTATATTGCCTGAAAAAAATTGGGCTAACTGCTCAGTGTTGCCATGACAGTTTTACTGTATAAATAAAAAAAAAAAGTAGAACAAACAATCAAATATGCTTCTTAACATAATCATGCACATACAAGTATTTTTTAATATACATTTATTTTACTATAAACATGTAAAATAGTGATCTTTATCTTGCCTCCTAATGGAGATGTCCCTCGTGTAGTGCAGCTTGCAGAAAGGGGTCCTCCCCCCCCCAAATGAAAGTCACACCACCTTCAACTCATCATTTTATTGGAAAGAGATGTGTCTGGTAGCATTATTTGAAAAAAAAAACAAGTGTTTTTTTTTTTTTTTGAAGGGCTAGTGTAAGGCATGAAAATGTGGCTTGTTGCCTCAGAGCAACGCTATGCTGTAGATGGTTATGTTTTGTTTTTTCGAAACATTTGGTTGCTTCCATTTACATCCAATTTTTTGTTCCCAAAAACAGAAAATAGATTTAAAAAATATGTGTGTGTGCGTGTGTTATTGATTAAATAACATTTTAAGTAACACGGTCCAGAGCTCGTTAGGTTAATTGGTGACAGAAAAATTCTGTCTTGGCTGACCTGTGGGGCAGGGCAAAGTAGCAGAAGAGAAAGCGACAGGGCCAAGAAGCAGGCTGCATTTATTGTATTAGCATCAGTATGGCTAAACATTTAAACAGCTGCAGAGAGACCAGCAGAAGGGAAAGAAAATGCAGTGAGGGTTGGAGAAATACCACTGAGGCAGAGAGGGCTGGTGGACAGGATACTAGTTGGCAGAGCGACTGATGCCTACTTCTCAAAGATACAGGTTGATAAGGCCCATGGCAATGGTTAACCTATCTTATCCAAAGATAAGATGTAGTCTGAGCAGGTGAAAGAAGAGTAGGTGTGCAGGAAAGTGGGGCTCAGACACCGGAGCAGAAGGTGGGAGAGTTTATTGCTGGAGAATTAGCTGGTCTAACATCATTCAGGAAGGCTTCAGTTGGGTTGGGTTCTTTGTGGAAGCCGTCTATGATCTCCTTTCAAGTCCAGCAAACCTACACGTCCTCCTGTCCTCTGTGCTAAACAGCTGAGTTCAGTATTGAGGCACAAGTGAAACTTGCAGACCCTCCAGACCAAGTTTGACCTCAACATGTTCCCCTACCTGTTGCAGTAGCTGCAGGTCTGGCTGATGATATAGACAGGTGGTTGGGTCATGGTACAATTGTAAGGAGCAGAAGAGTTGGAGTTACCTGAAAATGCTGAGCTCCTTCAGGAGCAAGACAAGTGGATTCTGGTTGTTAGAATCCAAGAACACCTGATTCCTGAAGATTTTTAGTGACATGGCATCCACAACAACAGCTTTACAGTGTCACATGTAGATGAGCGCATCATCTGTGAGGCTGACATCAACTGTGCATGCAAACATTTGTATAATCCACCTGTTTGACATGGTAGCTTACCTATTTCTTCATCTTGGTGTCACTGCAGAGCTGGTGGCCTGCAGACAGTGGGGGTTGAGGATATAGTGCTGGCCAGGATGGAGACAAGATGGCAGCTGGTACCTGTGGCTTTTTGTTCAGGTATCAGGGGGAAAATGTGGGGCTCTAGTGCCCTTGTTTAGAACCACATCGTGAATGAGGCAGTCCTCAAAGGCACTGGCAAACAATTTGAATCCTCATTTGTCTTTGTTGCATTTCTATACCACCTTGACCTCATCCACTGACTGCTTGGAGATCTGTGGCTCACTCCTGAAGGCAGTAATCATTAAGCTGAAAAGTCTTGAAGAATAGATCAGTGTCTGGTGTTCTGAGTATTGTCGTTGTCTTCCTTTATCAGCCTGAAACGTCGCAGACAAAGACTTGGCATGACGTTCCTGAGATGAGGGCTCCTGCTCCCCATTGCCCAGTAGTGATGAATGGAGGACAGCTCAGCAATCCCCATGTGTATCAGGATCATCACAAAGTTCATCATCTCATCTTCAACAGTGGCAGAGGTAGTTTGGATG